TTATCGAACTGAAAAGAACGATATAAGTTTCAGAATTTTTGGTGGTGTTTTAGCGGAGATATTAGCCGAAAACCATCGGTAGCGCTTCAACCATATTCAGCACAAATAAAATGTTTATTGTAATGTTAGATGTCCCTCTAGTGGACAGAACGTGTAACAACAACCACATGCTAAGCCTGAGTAATGTCGTAAATATTAATAATAGGATGAATTTGAGCATTTAATATTCGAATATTATTCGAATATTAAATGAAATAAGGAATGGAATTCGAATAGTATTATAGAGGAAGATTGACAGCCCTAGTCACTACTAGTGCAGTTGTTCCCGGTCTCCATGTATCCCCTGTAAGGAACCATTCACATTTAGCGCCTAAAAACGCGTAGAAAACGCTAGGCGCGCCGCATTCTCCTTTTTCCAAAGCGCTAGGGCGGTTGCGCTCCGGTTGGTTCTTGTCACGTGACCTACGTTGCGCTTGCGGCATTCTGAAAAGTTGAGATGTTTTTATCTCGATGCGGTGCGGACGCGCTAGGAAAAAACGAGCGCGTCGCTTCCATTATGAGCGCGCATACCGCGCGCCTACATTTGAAATAACGAACTTGAGCGCGCAAAAGACGCGATATGTGAGCAGGCCCTAGTGTTAGTATTGTTTTGTCACGAACTAAATGAGCGGAGCTAGAGGTAAACTCAGGACTGTAGCCTTCACCTTGCTAATGAATCGGAATTTTCTTCTTTTTTTTTTTAGAAACAGTGACCTCTACTGTCTGTGGGTTCATTGTGCAAAAACAATTTGCCTTGTGCTATTACTTTCCCCTTATTCTAGCCTATTGTTATGCAATTGTCTAACATTACTGTATTATATGCTGTTGAATACATTTGGTTCAGCTGTACTAAATTGCTTTTAAAATATATCGATTCCTGTAATAATAATTTTTTATTCGTGTTCTGTGATATTTATTAATCAGGATGCGTTTTTGGTTGGAATTCTATGAAACTTCATGGTATTACCTGGTCTCTACTGTTTATTGTCACAGCTCTTTACAATACAGCGAACACCCATGATTGTAAACTATGCTTTTACTATCTAGTAATTGCTGACTATTACTCCAACTCTGAACGAACTTTCTGCTCCTCACCACGGCGCGTCTCAGGTGATGCGGTTATCACTCCGCCCAAGTAGCAGTGATTCGCCTTCTGAGAATATAGTTCCCAATATTTACGGTTAAAAGATGGCTGTGTCTCATATGACCTTGTTATTTGTACACTCTGTGACTATACAAATCACAACATGTAAATAGGAAAATGTTTGCATTATTTTGTCACTTATTGGGATTAGTATGCTAGCTGGAGCCATTTACATCCAGTCTCTGTGCTAAGCTAGGCTAGCGGCGGGTGCGTCAGACAGAGTTACAGCCCGCACGGAGATGAAAAGGGTATGTATGGACTTATCTAACTCTGGGCGATACGGTGAATAAGCCAAAGTCCCAAAAAGTCGGAGTGTTCCTTCAAAGCGGGTCAGCAGCACCTAAACTTTCACAGAGTGTTTACCTATTACTCAAACTTTCACTGAAATGCACAATTCCAGAGTTGTATAATCTCTCATATTGTTGCAGCATAGAGTATACATATTTGTGAATTATGCCCAATGATATGCAAACTTTAACTTCATACAATATCCCGAGAATCACTGTTATAGGAACCAAAAAAAATTTAAAATCCAAATGTGCAAGTTCTGTTTGAGGGTGAAAAAGTTCCCCATGCAGATTTCACTCGTGTTCAAGTTGGCCATGCAAATTCGCAGCACTGACCAACAGACAGCTGCTCGGTTTGAAAGTGTGTTCTGTGTGACAATGGATTTTTCTTGTCCGCAAAATTTCGCTGAAATACTGCTAATGTGACTGCACCTTAATGCTTAAAAATTACTTTGATCAAAACTCAAATTAAAATTAAATACAAAACTGAAATAACATGACGTTTTATGCTACTGAAGTTAACCTGACAGTATGCAAGGCATTTAAAATATTCCTGAAAGTTGTCTCAGGAGTTACTTGATATCAAGGTGGATTATTCAAGCAAACAATTACATTGTTGTCACAGAAGACAAACAACTAGACACTATTAATGAATTAACTGCATCAACAACTGTGTTGATACACTGAAATATAATATTGGTTTATACAATACAAAGTAAACATCCTAAAATTCGCAAAATGCTAAAAATGCCTCACTAAAATGGCACCATGTTTGTGTAACCATAATCTATGAGGTGTCTCCACATCAGAAACACCTCTTCTTTTAACCATTCATCCATTTCTTAACAAGCACTCTCTTCCCTGTCATCTTACAGATGCTCTGGAAGCCTGCTTTTACGTGCCAAATGACAACGAACAGGGGCGATTAAACTGTTCTCAGAACTAGTTTGCCACCCGAGGGAGTCGGGCTGTGGACCGACTCTGGCATTTAATTAGCGCAGGCAAGGTGCAATATAGAGTTTTATAGGTTAAAGAGGGACAATATCAGATCTTCCAAAAGAGGGAAGTGTCTGAGTTTTGGGTCAAAAAGCATAACATGAAAGAGTTTTGGATATTTGGTCCAAGCGTTTTAGTTTTCATCTCTGCATAGAATGGAAGCATACATCATGTAACCAGATTACAGGTCAACTACTGCTATGTTGTTCTAGTACCATGAAACCAATATATATATATATATATATATATATATATATATATATATATATATATATATATATATATATATATCATGAACTGGTGAACATGGCAGTTAGACTTTGACCCAGAAGTTGACTCCATAAATCACATGTCAAAAACAATGGTGCTCCAACTAGACTGCTGTAGTGAAAATATGTCTTTATAATAACTATACTAACTCAGCATTCATGTAGCTCAAACTATAAAGCATGGCGATAGCAACATCAAGGTCATATGTTTGATTTCCAGGGAATGCAGGGACTGATAGGAATTTAGTCGCTTAAAGTAACACCATGTAACTTTTGCTCTCGGGGTCCCCCTACAGTATTGTCTTCTACTACTGTCGTAAAATCTGTCATGATTACACCAGGGGATACACGTGCATGATTTGTTGACAAGCCGATACCCCCGAACTCTGCAGAAGGAGTTCTCACGTCTTGGGCAGACTGCCTGCGTTCGTGTGAAATGTCTTCATCCCAGGTTCAGTGGCATATATTTTAGCATGTCATATGAATATAATTTCATGGGTTTTATTTTTTTCAAACGCCAAAAGATCGCGTAGCTCACGTTTACAAGCCAGCGTCATTATAGTAGCCAGTGTAACCATATGCTTCTGTTGTCTGCGTTGTGTTGGAAATCAGTGAAGAACGACAGGAGAGCGCCGGATTGGGTCTGCATAGAGAATGTATTTTTTCATATAAACAGGCCGCCACGCCAGCTTCAGCTCACACATCAGTAACACTGCCAACAAAAATAACATTCCCAAATATACGAATCCACAACGTATGTTGTACAGTGGTGAGGTATGCCGTAAAGCAGTCGAATTTTGTAGTTCTTTTTGTGCTCGGGTTACTACCCGAACCCCAAAGTTACGTAGTGCCAGTAAAAGCGATACAGACACCGTCAGGCTATGGCAGACGTCTCATTCAACCTCAGTCGATGTACCATCTCAAGGCGCTTGGAAATATATTATGAAGGTTGGAAAAAGCTACATAGTGTTGCTTTAAGATAAAAATGACTGCCAAAAGCATTAATGCAAATGTACAAAAATATCAATATCAAGATGAATATATATTTTCAAGGACCTCTAAACATGATAGTTTATGTTCTCGTAATGCTGATAAACAGGTATAAGAGCAACACAAGCAGACAAATACAATCTAGTCATTAAAATGGTCTCCTCTGATATAATATTTGTTTGGAATTTTGTAAACAGCTTGGAATATTCTTAAAATTGTCTTGACTAAAACTTCATAAGACAAAGTTTGACCAAGCATGTCCATTTGCTAACTATGAATTTATGATATTGTTAGATCTAGATGATTCTGGGGATATCTGATCAAATTTTAACTCCGTTTCCCCAGTAATCAGCACCAGATCCATTCAACTTTAATGATCAGATTACACCATATCACTGCTAAACCTGCATCTGAGCGACAGTAACATGGAAACTTAAGAGTGGTGACTCCCCAAAGTCCTTCGAGATGAGCATGCCGTTAGTTAGCTCTGCCTAGATATCAATGAGAGACCATTCAAGGGATCCATTATTCATAAGACTAGTACAGCGGCGATGACACCACCTGCCCTGACCCACTGAGCTAGATGTTCTGTGCCAGTCAGCAAGCATTGAGTTGTTGTTGTGCGGTCAGCTTACCCAGGATAAAGATTTGGCTAAACAGCTGTAGCCAACCATGCTGGCACAGGTAAACCGTTTCCAACCAAGTGTCAAGTGGAAAGAAAGCACTGAGAACAACTGACTTAGACAATCTGACTAACTTGACTAATCATGCAAAACATGGAATAGTGAATAAACTTGTCAACCTTAGAGGCCTCAGCTCCCTACCTGAGCATGAGATGATGTGGCTTGAGAGGTTGCAAGTTTGAATCTTTAAGTGATAACTTGTTTTATTAAATAAAAATTGCAACTGGTTGTCAGTAAATCGTATATCAGTCAGTAATAATAGTGACACTTAGTCGTATTTTTTTTTAATAACTGGAACAGAGATCAATGACTGAGACTAGAAGGATGGATAATATATATTGTGAACTTTAAAGATGGTATAAAATTACAATTCTTAATGATCGTATAGTGAACAATTAATCCGTGCATGTGTTTAATATTTTTTATTAAACTCCACCTCTTTAATTATGTAAAATAGTTACGTAAAAGTATTCACACATTTTTAGGGGTGTTGACTTCTGAGTTAGCAACTACAAATCAAAACTAACAAACCTAGCCATAAAAAAATGATAATTTATTATAGTACCAGTGCCACAAATGGGTTATATTTTACCTGAGAAGGTAGACTGCTCGCTCTATGTCATTCAGATCTTCATCCACAGTGAGCTTGTCAATCTCTTCTGCAGTCTGCAAATGGGGGAAACAAGATCTGCACTTTACCAAACACACAGTGCTTTAATAAAGAAGGAAATAAAAGTTATTAGCATGAAATGTTGAGCATCTCCATAGCAAAGGCGAAAATTCTCAAAAGTAGTGTATCTTAAATCAAGAATGGCCAGTGATTGGGCAAGATTCCATTACAGATGACTCAGCCAAATATGTGAGGAGGCTTGCAGGGAGGCAGGATGCGAGGCTTGAGGGACTGCGTGGGAAGAGATAGTGTGGGGGACGGGAGCCATGTGTAGGTGCCTAGTCTATTACTTTAGGGCTCTCGAGAGCCACGATGCTTTTCTTTGGAACCTCCCCATTAAAAAAAGATAAGGGACAGAAAACACCCGCCCCCTCTGTAGGCGTTGCATTATTCCCGAATATGCGTGATGCATATCATGCATATCCCGTGAATGCTGAGAGATGAGAGAGTATCCATGCTTAACTTCACTGCTCCCAGGTACATGATTGCAGAGACCCACAACACGACGTTCACACAACTATACGCTGCTACCGCTGTACAAGAAGGGATTTGAGGTAGTAATGGGAATAACGTTATGGTTTAAAGTGGAAATCCTCTATTCCGCAGTGGCGAGAACGAGGAGGCGAAGCAGTGATGCGGACAGCTGACAGAAACTGCGTCACTCAGCAGACTGAAGTGGGCAACCCCCGTCCACCCCAAAGGATGCTAGTACAGTTACTACTTCAAATAAAGATAATAGAGTGTATGACGCGATAATGTCGAAAGGTCGTGGCGCGCGCAACAAAATAAACGAAACCGTCAAATAGCGTGAATGTTTTCTGTTTTAGTCTTTCCCTAAATAAATCCCCTGCAGCGTCAAAAAAAACCTCCACTGTTAGACATAAGTGTTGAATCATTAAATGTCTAATTATCACAGTATTGTTTGGTAAGCAGCCAATGAATATTATACGAAACAAATAGTTTAAAATGTAGTCATTTATTGACAGAAGAAAATGGTAGGCTATTAGCAGCTATACATACCTTCAGGCTCCTGCGTATGGGTCTCTCGATGAAAGTAAGGTCCTGCAGGTCATCTATCTCTCCAAACAAACTGGACTGACTCGGTGTCATTTTCCTGACAAACATCTGTCCTAAGTGTCTTCGTCAATGTGTCAGACGCGGATGTCAAAGTCCTGTCATAATTGTGGCTCCTTGACAGTAAATGACTGATGTGATTTCTTTGATGAAGAGAGGATGGTCCTCCCACGACAAACGCGTCCCACTGTTTGCAAAGCTTGATCTAGCACTAATTTATTTGCGTGGTGTTCAATTGTTTGTGCAGTTTCTACACGCGCTTTCAGTTGACGCGCGTGCGCTGACGGCACATTTTCTGCGATAAAAGTGTTGCTAACTTTCCGAGAAAAAGGTGGATTTGATGTGCGTTTTCCCACTGGAGCAGCTCGAGATGTCGAATGCTTGTGGTCAGCGCGTGCTGATGGTCAATAATAAAATCCTCCCCCCGCTGATGGGAAAACAATTCAGATATGGCTGTTGTCATATGAAGAAGAGATGCCTGATATTCCTGATGGGTGCTAACGTTAAGTTAACTTAAATGTAAGATCGCACTAACATCAGCATATAGCGTGAACTACATTCGCAGTTTAACCCGGTCGCACATAACGTTACCTGTTCACCTGCCTCGGTTGACGTTAGCTCGCTAATGACACGACAACAAAGTTGGGAGGGGAAAAGGCCTGTCGAAAAAGCTCCTCTCCAGAAAGCCGTGCATTTAGCCTATTTAATACTCATCTCAAGTAATCCTCTGTAAATCTAGCTCAAATGGTAAACGGGTCTTTTCATAAAAGCTACGTATTTTATATTGTGGATGTGCTAGCAAGCAGGAATATTCAAACCACGCAAACGCACTGCACCAACTAAACAGGTTTCCATGGAGACAGCATGCCACAGCAGCTCTGAGCGGTTGGAACGTCAGAGAGTTGTGTCGAGGTTCGTCATTGAAATGGATTCAGAACAGCACAACTAATGGTTTCGACTGTTGTGTTGTAATTGATTACGTTCACTTACGGCGTATTATTCTAAATATGGCTAATTCCGGGTAAACCTTCGGCTTAGAAGTGTGACGATTTACTCATTGTTTAAAACCAGTGCCTACCACAGAAATTCAGGCTTACACATTTAACACACAGTGTGGTAACTTGGACACTGCATTTTTTTTAACCACACTAAAACATAGTAAAAGTGAAAACTGCATTAATACAGCGTCTAAATAATCACACTTGCACTGTAAAAATGGAAACTACAGTAGCCTAATAGCCTACTGAAATTACCACATTACTAAAAAGAAAGGTAAAGTTCAATTTGCCAGCCTTTTTTACTTTCCACGTTTTTTTCATTTTATTTAAAGCTGGCACATGAAAATTGTTTCATTTACCTTGCCAACAAAGTGCAGTTACTGGAGTCATTAAAGTCACCATTTTTAGTCAACTTTGAATAATTTTTAATCAACTTCCCTCCCTCTTGTAACAACATTTCTGATGAAGTGTTTACTGGCGCAAGGTTAGGACAACCAGTCACTCACATGAGATCACACAGCAATAGCAAACCATAACGTTTTACTCCGATATACATCACAATATGGAAAGAAAAGACTATCGCAACGTCTGTTTCATGCCGACTTTATTAACTGCAGTCTATTTTTGCAGTGCAGCTGTTAAACTGCAGGTGTAAAAAATCATTTGCAGCATTTGACAGAACTTTAGTTATATATTGTATTGATCTAAACTTGTATTTCACTAAACTATAAAATGTTGTGGCCTAAACTGCAGCTGCATTACACTGAACTATATTTGCCCTGCAGCGAATGCAATTAAATTATGGGAAGTCAAATCTGAACTGCAATTTTTCTACAGTTACACTACAGTGGACTTCAAGTATACATTGTATACGTTCCTGGTAACCAGATTTACTTACTACAGGTTTTTTCATGTTCCAATGGCTGTAATACGTTCCCAGTGACCAGACTCACTTAGTACTGGTGAAATATTGACAATACCTCCCTTAATGTATTTACAGTAAACAAATATTTTTTTTAAAAAATAACTATTTCACCAAAACGGTTTCAAAGGTTGTAGTATGCTCCTAGTGACCAGTCTGACTTACTACAGGTGAATGATGCAAAATCTCACCTGTACTCAGTCAGTCTGTCTGGAACATGGAAAAAAAACCTTTAGTGAATTACAGTATTTTTTCTAAAAATAATTCTGTACTGTACATACATAAATTTTTTTTCAAAATTTGAACAATTTCACCAATAGTAAGTCAATCTTGCCTATAGAAACCTACTACAAGCTTTGAGCATGAAAAAACCCTTTTGGCGAATTACGGTAATTTTTTTCCAAACAAATAATTGTTTACTGTACATACATTATTAAGGCAGATATTGGCAAAATTCCACCTGTAGTAAGTCAGTCTCTGGTCACTAGGAATGTATACAACCGGAACATGGAAAAAAACGTTTGGTGAATAGGGTATATGTCGAACGTCCCATGACCAAACCGGAACTCTGGTCTCATCGCATCCGCTTGTCAGATAAAGTATTAACAGCAGTATGAACTGATGCCGATATCTATTTAATTTGAAGGTAATCAGCTAACCTACCTAGTTTACTTTGTTATCGGTGTTTTATTCTATTTAAATATCTAAACATTAGTGTGAAGAAAAAAAAAATGTTTAGATATCAATCTGCATGCAAGGGACATTGGTTATGCTCATCTGTGCTCGCTCCTTTTAAATTATCTTGAGTAAAACAGCAAATTTGTTCACAATGCACATACAAAGACCTGAACCGGAAGCGATGTGATCTGTTTTACAGAATACGGAAGTTAAAGCTGCAGTCCGCAGTTTTTCCTCTGTCGCCTCTGTTCGAAATCGACTCGGTTACTAACGTAACCTCGGTTCCCTGAGAGGAGGGAACGAGTATTGCGTAAGTAGCTTACGCTATGGGAAAACTCCTTTTCTCGAGAAATATTGAAGTCTTTATGTAAAACGCATTGCAGCTGCACAGCATACAGCAATGAGCGAGGCAGCTCGGTCATTGGCTGTGCTGCGGCAACTGCACGAACCTATGACGGGGCGACTCTGAACCCGCTTCCAATCAGCGTGCTTCGCGCCCGCGCGCCTCAGAGCCCGCCAAGATGGGCGTGGCCAAGGGCTATATATTGGGCGCCCCGTCGTCTGAGTTCTTTAGGTTCAATCGACTGAAGCGAACTGACCAATTCTCAGCTTACGCAATGCTCGTTCCCTCCTCTCAAGGAACCGAGGTTACGTTAGTAACCGAGTCGTTCCCTTTCGAGAGGTTCCTCCTATTGCGTAAGTAGCTTACGCTATGGGAACACCATGTAAAACGCTGTGCGTGCTGACTTCGCTCTATTAAGCCGGAGGCAGATGCCTGAGCCTTTAAGCAAAGTAATTATCCAACGAGCCGGCCGAAGGCGGGCTTTATAAGGGACAATGTGGAACGGCCCAATGGGCGTCCAGAGAAACACACAAGCACATTTTTATGTACTGATATGCATGAAAAATCCTCTAAGTCAGTCAGAGACGGACCCTATAAGGGAGGAGATAATGCTCAGCATGTACACACTCCAGCCTATGCATAGCTAGACCGACAGTATGTTGGAGTGCAATGAGGGGACCTGTAGGTTATAAAACCTGATAAATGTTGACGGTGAGGCCCAGCCTGCTGCCGCACAAATATCTTGAATGGGTATCCCACTCAACCACGCCCACGAGGAGGCCATGCCTCTCGTAGAGTAAGCTCTGATGCCCAAGGGGCACTGAAGGCCCTTGGCTTCATAAGCCAGCGCTATAGCATCAACTATCCAGCGCGATATTCTCTGCTTTGAAACAGCGAGACCTTTGGTGCGGCCGCCAAAGCATACGAACAATTGCTCTGTCTGTCTGAACAGGGCAGAACGTTCCAAATATACTCTGAGCGCCCTGACCGGGCAGAGTAAATTAGCGTCGCTTTCGTCCGCAGGAGACGATAGCACGGCCAAAGATATCACCTGTGCTCTGAAGGGTGTAGAGAGCACCTTAGGAATATACCCGTGTTTTGGCCTGAGGACAACTCTGCTGTCGTTAGGTCCAAACTCCAGGCAGGCAGCGCTTGATGACAGCACGTGCAGGTCGCCCACTCTTTTGACCGAGGCGAGAGCCAGCAAGAGAGCAGTTTTGAGCGAGAGCTGTTTAAGGTGCACAGTTCGGAGGGGTTCGAACGGGGCACTTTTGAGTGCGTCCAGGACCGTGGCCAGGTCCCAGATCGGCACTGAGGGGGGGCGTGGGGGATTTATCCTCCTGGCGCCCCTCAGGAAACGAACAACTAGGTAGGTTTTCCCTAGTGTGCGTCCTTCTACGGGGTCGTGTCATGCCGCTATGGCAGCCACATATACTTTGAGCGTGGAGGGGGTACGGCCTGCCTCCAACAGCTCTTGTAAGAAAACGAGCACACTCGGTACTTCGCATGTCTCAGGGTTCAGGTTCCTGGATTTACACCAGTCACTGAACACCTTCCATTTCTGGGCATATAAGCGCCTCGTAGAGGGCGCTCGCGCCTCAGTGATGGTTCTCAACACTCCACTGGGGAGGTTCCCGGGAACCCGTTGAGGGGCCATGCATGGAGGGCCCACAGATCGGGGCGGGGATGGAGGATCATCCCGTTGGCCTGCCTGAAGAGGTCCAGCCTCAGCGGAATCGGCCATGGAGCAGATTGCATCATCTGCATCAGTTCTGGAAACCACGTCTGGTTCTTCCAGAGTGGGGCTACCAGGAGCACTGCACATTTCTCCTCCCTGATCCGACTGATGACCTGAGGTAGCATCGCGACCGGAGGGAAGGCATACAGCGGGCGGCTCGGCCAGATTTGGGCGAGCGCGTCTGTGCTCTTTGAAAAGAAGAGAGGGCAGTGCGCATTTTCCTTGGAGGCAAAGAGGTCGACCTCTGCTCTGCCAAAGGTTTGCCATAACCACTGAATCGTCAGTGGGTGGAGAGACCATTCTCCTGGGAGAACTTTGTCTCTGGACAGCATGTCCGCTCCCTGGTTCAGAACACCTGGCACATGCGCTTCTCTCAGCGAGCGCAGGTTGCGCTGGGACCATAGGAGGAGCTCCCTGGCCATCGAGTGCAGGGAGCTCGATCTGAGTCCACCCTGACGATTTATATACGAGACTACCGTCATGTTGTCCGTTCGGACAAGGACGTGCTCGTCCTTCAGGTACGGAAGCAGGGCTCTGAGAGCCAAAGCGACCGCTTTCAATTCCAGACAGTTTATATGTAGGCGCTTCTCCGGGTTTGACCACAAGCCGGAGACAGGCCTGCCCTCGTAAAGGGCCCCCCAACCTATTTTGGAGGCATCTGTCGTGATAATTTTTCTCCTTGTGTTCACGCCCAAACTCACACCGGACTGATACCAGTCGACAGCTTTCCAGGGCGTCAGGGCTTTTACACAGCCGTGATTTGCTCTGATTAAAAAGTGGCCCGAGCGCCACGCGTGAGTGGGGACACGGCTTTTGAGCCAGCGTTGGAGAG